TAAGCCYTACCTCRCGTTTTGCTTACTTTAGCTGTCCTTCGCTTTATTTCTTCTTCCTTCCGACATCAGTTGTCCCGGACTGGAAAGTACTTGCTTTGTAATTTTCCCATTTTCTTGATCTCTAATCCTCTTGGCTGCTTGTGTTGTTGGCCGGTAGAAAGAAGGGAGCGACTTGAAAAATGTCCTCCCGCTGCGTCTTGAGTCACTCCCCGCGACCTGTTGCCGGGTGTTTTTTGGGAGTCCCCTTGAGGGGGGCACCGTTTTACACCGTCGGCCAGGTAGCGGGGTATTTCTACCCCTAAGACCTCAGTCTGTCTTGTGAGGGAGGGAGAAAAACTGCCCCTCCGACTCAAGAGATGCACAGCTGTCCCCAGCAGCAGTTGGAGACACGTCTTCCACCATGCGGCCACCAACCGGAAGTCTTGTCTTATTGTTAATTGTTGCATTTTTTATTGTCTATGTTTTTATTTTAATTGCTTGTATTGTTGTTATTATTGCTTGTATGGTTGTATTTGGGCTCGGCCTCATGTAAGCCGCACAGAGTCCCTTGGGGAGATGGTAGCGGGGTACAAATAAAGTATTATTATTATTATTATTATTATTATTATTATTATTATTATTATTATAGATTGGCACAGGATCTACATTGGGAAACCATTGGGAAAGGTTGGAAGCAACAGCTGAAAGACAAGCCTTTGGGATCAGCTAGAGTGCAGATGCACACGAGCTTAAATGTTCACTAGTGAGTCAAATGTAAAGTAGCAATTTGTGGGTAAATGCTCAGAGCCGGTGGCAGAGCCTGCAGAGTCTTGTGTCATCTTTCGGGCTAAGAAATTGTTAGACATTTATGGACCTCAACCACATCCTATTGCCCTTCAAAACACTCAAAACTCTTTTAGTCAATACTTATGGGCTTAGGAACCATGGCACCCTCCAGACATTGTTGGACAGAAAGTCCCAGAAACCATAGCCAATGTGAACTGAAGTCCTGATACATTGCGAAGGGCTCACAGATCCCCTTCCCTTCTTATTAATGGATGGAAACGGAAACATAGCCAACAATTAGATACCAATCTGTACCTGTCCCCCTCCAGCTGGCAGGTATATTTCACCATGGGGGTCCAGTCGAGGGCTTCCGGGTCCTTCTTCAGCCACTTCTGCAACTCTGCCCGGTTCTGCTCAAGTAAATCTGTGGCAATGATCTCCTTGAAGGACTCACATGCAGAGAGCAGTTGGTAGATGGAGGGACCGGTGCCGATGTCAATCAGGGTGTCTCCTCGGATGCCGTCTGTGTGTCAAAGGAAACATGAACTACCCCAATCTGCTGTCCCTGATGGTCTCTTCTCTCTACATGTCCTCCCTCCCTCCTTCCTTCAGCTGGTTTTGGAGTGTGCCTCCCTCCTTTGCCAGCTGGGACATCCTGTTTATTTTATCTTTGATTGCTTCCAGACAGTAACTATAATTTGGGAGAAAATGGGTTTAAAAGGGGGGGTGGTGGTGGTCAAATGATGTATGTGCTAAATGCACACTCAACCCCCTACTAATGACTTTACCAGCAAGTTCAGTGAAACTTTATGTGAAGTTTCTACTTAGTGACAACCCTCCCCACGTGACCTTGGCGGTTGCCAAGTTTCTTTCTGAGGTACCCTGGATTAGACAATTCTGAATTTTAGACACAAGTATTTAGCCAACTTGTGTTTTAAGCAATTTTTAACTGTTGTTAATTTTACCCATATGTGTGCCCAAGTGGTTGTTCTTTCTTCTTATTTCTCATTGCCTGTATACCTTGAAGCTATACCCTATCTAGGAACGACCTGGCTACGGTGATCCAGGCGACGGTCATCTCGAGGCTTGACTACTGTAATGCCCTCGACATTGGCCTTCCTTTGTCAGTGATCCGGAAACCGAAGCTGGTGCAAAATGCGCTGGCTCGTCTTCTCGCCGGGGTGCCGGCGAGGTGTCATATTACCCCAATTCTCCAACACCTGCACTGGCTACCGATTGAGGACCGGATCACTTTCAAGGTGCTGGTACTAGCCTTTAAGGCTCATGGTTACACTATTTCCAACTTAGAGAACACTTTACTAAAGATCAAAAAAAGGGCTTCATGGAGAAGGATGACTTCTGGGAAAAAATCTTATGTAAAGATAAGAAAAATATAACAACAATATATAACACAATACTAAAATGGGCAACCGAACCAGAATTAATTAAAGACTGTATGACAAAATGGGCAAAGAACATTGGCAGAGAGTGGGAACAAGTATGGTCTAGAAAGATCAAATACACATATTCCTCAGCACTAAAAGAGAATTGGTACAAAATGCTGTACCGATGGTACATGACGCTGCAGAAACTGGGACAAATGTACAAACACAACTCTACTAAATGCTGGAAATGCAACAACCAGACCGGAACTTTTTTCCATCAATGGTGGTCATGCCCCGCTGCTCAGAAATATTGGAAAAAAGTGAACGAAATATGCGGGAAAATCCTAAAACATAAGATATGAGAAAAAGCTGAATACTACCTACTCGGAATATTCGAAGAAGAATGGGATTTAAGCACAAACGACGATATACTGTTCACCTATCTTACGACAGCAGCAAGAGTAGTCTATGCGAGGAAATGGAAAACAAAAGAAATACCAACGGAAGAAGAATGGTTACAGAAAGTTCTAGAAATAAAAGAAATGGATATGCTAACCTATGTATTAAAAGACACATCCGGACACCCGCTCAAAAGAACAGACTGGAACCCATTAAAAGAATACATGGAGAGAAATGCAGCTCCAGGAAAATAAGAGTGGATCAAAAACAAGAGCCAGAATAAAACTACAAGGGATAAGCTACAAATCAAAGCTGAATAGAAGAATTGAAACCGTGAACGTGGAGAAGATAGAGTTGGAAGTCAATCCCTCAAGACCCCCCCCCTCCCACCCCTTCATCGTCCCTCCCCTTTCTAGATCCCACCTAGCCCCCTAGGTAAACACCTGATAGGGAACACCTCCCCTTACTTTACCTTATTTTTCCCACCCCCCCTACACAGTTTTTAAGCTATTTTGTATAACTAATAAAACCCCCTACAGCTGTATTTTGTATTTTGAAAACCTTTCTAATAAAAATTATTTTTTTTTAAAAAAAGGCCTTATATGGTCTGGGGCCGGCGTACCTGAGAGCCCGCTTATCCCCCTACCAACCCCAGAGATTACTCCGGTCTGAAGACCAAAACCTGCTTGCAGTCCCTAACATCCAGACCTTTCATTTGTCATCTACTAGGCATAGAGCCTTCTCGATCGTGGCCCCTTATTTATGGAATGCCTTGCCAGTTGAAACTCAAACCATCCGAGACCTACCTGCTTTTCGGAAAGCCTGTAAAACTTTTCTCTTCTGACAAGCTTTTGATGGGTGAGCAACCCGGACTATGCCTGTTCTCGCTGCCTATTGTTATTGTTATGGTCATTTTAAAGCTAATTGTATTGTTTAAATCTGTTTCTGTAAACCGCTCCGAGCCAAATTGGGAGTAGCGGTATACAAGCTGAATAAATAAATAAATAAACAATAAATAAATAATAAATAAGCTGAAACACGCCGGAACTTCTTATAGCTTTTTATCCTTGTTTTTAGCCAACATGTATTTTAAGCAATTTTATCCACTGGATATTCTAAATCTCATTACCTGTTCAACTTGTACGCTACAGTGTAATAAGGGTCTCTGGACCAAAATAAAATCTATCTATCTATATGCACACTCAATCATAGCAATGGAGGGAAAACCTGATTCAAAAAGGTCTTTTTTTATCCCGGTCCCAGGAGAAAGAAGTATATTTTCCCATAACTGTGTGGCCCTACAGTCATGTAAAGTTCAGGACTTCCTTCTTTGCACCCTGTGGAGTGCAAAGAAAGCTTCCTGGCCCATGCTAGTTTGAAAAAGCTGGGAACTGCTGATCAGCTGCTTAGGCTTCCAGGTTGTTTCAAAAGAGGAGAAGCAGAGAGCTATTAGAGGTCTCTGAAAGTGTACCATGCAGCTGTGGACAAGTCTCCATTGGGAGCACCAAATGTGGCATTGCCCAAACAAGAATCAGGGAACAGGAAAGGCACTGCAGGCTACTTCAACCAGAGAAATCAGCCATAGCAGAGCACCTGAGGAACCAACCTTGACACAGCATTTTATTTGAGAACACAGAAATGCTGTACCACACCAACAACCACCATGTCAGACTACACAGAGAAGCCATTGAAATACACAAGAAGCATGTGGACAATTTCAACAGAAAGGAGGAAACCATGAAAATGAACAAAATCTGGCTACCAGTATTAAAAAAAAACTCTAAAATTGCAACAGCTAAACAACAGAGAGGAAACAATCAGGGACATCTAATCACTTCTCAACAAAAGTTTGCCCCAGGCACAGTTAGCCCATTGTATGCTAATCAAGGTGGTCAGTTGAAACATTCACACCTAGCTCAAGCAGACAAGAGTTTTTTGTCTCACCCTGGTCATTCCACAGATATATAAACCCCTTTTCTTAGTTCCAACAGACCTCACTACCTCTGAGGATGCTTGCCATAGATGCAGGCGAAACGTCAGGAGAGAATCATAGAATCATAGATTCAAAGAGTTGGAAGAGACATCACGGGCCATCCGGTCCAACCCCATTCTGCCAAGAAGCAGGAATATTGTATTCAAATCACCCCTGACAGATGGCCATCCAGCCCCTGTTTAAAAGCTTCCAAAGAAGGAGACTCCACCACCTCTAGACCATGGCCATACAGCCTGAAAAAACCTACAACAACCCAGTGATTCTGGCCATGAAAGCCTTCAACAATACATTGTTTATTTTAAACTTTATAATATTAAATAGATCCTGAATAAGCATCTAGGGAAAGAGGGAAATCTTTAAAAACAATCCCTCTGTTATGCACTGATTTTTATATACATACATAGGAATCTCAGATGGCCCACATCCACCCTCCATTTTATTCCGAGACACAGAAGGGCTGTGAGGAGTGTGGTGGATGGCCATCTGTCAGGGATGATTTGAATGCAATATTCCTGCTTCTTGGCAGAATGGGGTTGAACTGGATGGCCCATGAGGTCCCTTCCAACTCTTTGATTCTATGATTCTACTAGCTGTACCCGCCACGCGTTGCTGTGGCCAACCTTCCCCCTATCTCCCCTTCTTTCCCTCCATCCTTCACTCCCTGTTTCCTTCCCCTATCTCCCCTTCTTTTCCTCCTTCCTTCACTCCCTGTTTCCTTCCTTCCTTCCTGTCTTTCCTTCTCTCCTTCCTTCTTTCTCTATCGCTTTCCTTCCTTCCCCCTTGTTCTTTCTCTTCTGCTGTCTCTCTTTTCTTCCTTCTCTCTTTCCCCCTTTCTTTCCCTCCCTCTTTCTCTACATTTTATCCCCTTCCTTCGCTCCCTCTTTCCTTCCTTCTTCCTTTTTCTCTTCTGCAGTCTCTCTTTTCTTCCTTCTCTCTTTCCATCTTTCCTTCCCTCCCTCTTTCTCTACATCTTCCCCCCTTCCTTCGCTCCTTCTTTCCTTCCTTCTTTCCCTTTTTTCTTTCCTTCTCTCCTTCCTTCTTTCTCTAACTTTCCTTCCTCCCCCTTTTTCTTTCCCTCCCTCTTTCTCTCCTTTCTTCCTTTTCTACCTCATTCCTTCCTTCTTTCTTTCCCTCCCTCTTTCTCTCCTGTCAGGGGTGCTTTGAATGCAATATTCCTGCTTCTTGGCAGAATGGGGTTGGACTGGATGGCCCAGGAGGTCTCTTCCAACTCTTTGATTCTATGATTCTATGATTCTTCCTTGACAGATTAGAAGGGGGCGTGGCTTGGAGGTAACGTGAGGAGGGTAGAGGGAGGGGAGGGGGGATGGGTTTAGAAGGGGGCGTGGCTTGGAGGTAACGTGAGGAGGGGGGGGGGGGGGGGGGGTTTAGAAGGGGGCGTGACTTGGAGGTAACGTGAGGAGGGTAAGAGGGAGGAGGAGAGCGAGCGCGCGCGCGCGTGTGTGCCGCGCCGGGGGGGTGAGGGGGCACATGCGCGTGTGTGTGTGCGTGTGTGTGTGTGCCGCGCCGGAGGGAGGAGAGGGGGCGCGTGTGCGCGCGCGTGTGCGTGCCGCGCCAGGGGGGGGTTGGGGGCGCGCGCGTGTGTGTGCCGCGCCGGGGGGGAGAGGGGGCACGCGCGTGTGTGTGTGTGCCGCGCCGGGGGGGTGAGGGGCCGTGCGCACGCGCGCGCGTGTGTGTGCCGCGCGGGGGGGGGAGGGTGAGGGGCCATGTGTGTGCGCGCGCCAGGGAGTTTGCGCCAGTGCGCATGCTCAGTTGTTTTGCCGTTTTTTGTGGTTGTTGTTGTGTGGTTTTGATTTCTGAGTGGATTAGTTTGTACCTAGTGGGTTGTCCTTGGGGCATGGCAATTTTGGTAGAGTTGTGTGGAGGGGTTTTAGAGTTTTGTTTCCTCGTTGGACGCCAGTAGGAAATTTATATATATAGATGAGGACACTGGGGGAAGAAAGCCCGGGAGTGGCAAATCTATGTGAGGACACGCTCTCAGGTCCCAGGTTTATTTGCCCCTCTTTTTAATCCTGCATTTTGGTACTATCTGAAAGCGCCCCGAGGTCCCGGGTTTGTTCATCCCACATATTAATCCCATGTTTTGGCACTGCCTGGAAGCGCCCCGTGAGCTCCTCCAATTTCCTTCCCGGTTTCGGACATGTTCTCTTCTGACCAAGGCAATGAATTCATGTTCCTTGACACTGGGCCTCTTGGCTTCTCTGCTCTGAGACAAGAAGAGACACTCACCAACAAGGAAGGTCTTGTGGAGCATTTCCTGGAGGAACGCATATATTGGATCACAATCGGAAGAGTTCATGGACCCGCATAACATGTAGACATTGAAAAAACCCTTTGGATCAAAATGCTGCCTGTAAGCCTCTTTTCCAGTGAAGACCCCTTCCATGCTGCCTGCGATCAAGGAAACACCGAAGTGACTTTGGCCCTTTTGGCTTAACAATTTAAAGGCCTCAAGGTGTAGCTTGTTAACCTTGAGAAGCCCATTAAGTGTTCTTTCTTATCCTATAGAAAACTGGTTACAGCCCCATTCCTTCCAATAATTATCCTCCGGGCACTATGATAGGACAGTGTAGTGCTCCGAGGCCATATTTTGTTGCTCAACCCACAAAAAAGCTGGCTTGTAAGTTTGGTATTATTTCTTGCAACACTGCACGTTCACCCCTTTGTAAATAAGGAGAGACACCCAAGGGACTTTGACCCCTTGACTTCCCCACTTGAATCCCCCTGAGACATGGTTTGCTACCTTGGGAGGCCCATCAAGCGTTCTTCCTCTGCATTCCTTCAAATAATAACCCGCCACACACAAATGGGATGATGATCCCGTAGGAATGCAGGCTCACAATCTTAGCATTCTCTTTCCCAAACTGGAGGGGCATCCAGCTTTTTAACAGGCCACAGTTCTGCAAAACTCTCTTTCAGAGGAGGGAATTGGCCAAACCACCTCTGAGTCTCCCTTGCCTGAGAATATACGTGGAGTTCCCATACGTTAACAGGCGACTGGACATGTGCACCAGAAAGGCCACCAAGACACAAGACGTATCTATTTTGACCTATAAAACCGTATACGGCTCCGGTCCAGCATACCTGTCCGAACATATCTCCTTCTACGTCCCACCTCGGAGTTTAAGATCTTCTGGGGAAGAGACATATCTATTTTGACCTATAAAACCCTATACGGCTCCGGTCCAGCATACCTGTCCAAACATATCTTCTTCTTCATCCCACCTTGGAGTTTAAGATCTTCTGGGGAGCCTTGCTCTCGGCCCCACCTCTGTCTCAAACACGCTTGGCGGGGATGAGGGACAGGGCCTTCTTGGTGGTGGCCCCATGCCTGTGGAACTCACTTCCTGGGAAAATTAGGCCATCTTCATCCCTCCTCACCATTAGAAAAAAGTTAAAAATGTGGATGTGGGACCAGACCTTTGGGTAATGAAGCAGTCAATGAAAATAACAATGTTGACAATGGCTTGGAAATGGATTATGGATGTTTGATGGAGCATCCAACCACAGTTTTTGGCTAATAATGGCCACCAGAGTGGTAATTCTTAGTAGATTTTAATTGTATTGTTTTAATGTCTTAACCATCTATAATTATTGAGTGTTTATTATGTATAGATTGAGGCATTGAATTGCTGCCGATTGGAAGCCGCCCTGTGTCCCCCTCCCCAGGGGGTTGAGAAGGGCAGGGTACAAATATTCTAAATAAATAAATAAATATTGTATGCATAATTAACACTGAACACTTCCTGAGATGTTTAGGAAGCATGCACTTGATTCTGCATCCACACATGATGCTTCGGGGCACATTTTCAATATCTGGCACCCAACATTCTCATCCATTTCATGAAACACCACCCACAATTCACCGAATACAAGGTAGACATAAAGAAGGCATGTCTAACAACACATGCATGCAAAAACTAAGCAGGTATATCTCTATACAGATATTACACATCTCAAACATGATGCAGTTGCTCTGCCTTGTCATACATGGATTGAAAAAAGTTGACGGCACACACACACACACACACACAATCATTTGTATATGAATGTTAGATGTCTTGACAAATACTAAGAATGGCCCTTTATATTTTCAGTCATCTATAACTTTGTTCTGAAATGTAAGCTGATATATCATGGTTTATATAGAATCGGTATTAGTGGTCATTTCTCATAAACTAAGAATCACATCTGGTTTTATTGCTTAGCAAGAACATCTGGGGAAAAGGAGAGCAGCACTTGGTAATACAAAGAAAAAAATAATTCTGGTTGAGTCTTCCCCAAGTCATAATATATTTGTAGTGTTTGGGACAGGGTTACTTTTCCAAAGATTCCAATACCCATAATGCACGGTCACTGGCATGTTCTGGGATTTGTAGATCCAAAATGGCAATTACTACAGAGTGACTGGTGGCTCCCAAGTCAGGAGGGCAGTGAATCCCTTCCAGGTTTTGCCTGCTCTTAAAAGAGCTCTCCAAGGTCCTGGGGCCATTTCAGCACCTGGGACAACTCCATTAAGCCTGAGGCAAATCTTCCCTAACTTAAAGAGATAGGATCCATCAGACATCTTGGCATTTACTCATATCTAATGCTCACCTTTTTGGACCAAATTACCTCCCCAAATTAGGGTGCACATTAGGGTGCACATTAGATTTTTGTAATGTTTCAATACTTTTTAGGGTTCTTTTTAGGGTTCTGAAAATGGTTCTGAAAATGGTGCATTAGACTCAAGTTAATATGGGTCCTTCTTTGTGCGTTTCTGATCTAGAGCTCAAAGATATGGAGAATGAGCTTCATTTATGGTGTTCCTTTGGTCGGCTTTGGTTCTTTCCCCATTAACTCACTGGGATTCGCTAGGTTTCTTGGCTACTAGGAAAAGTGTGTCTTTGGCATCACACACCGACAAGAGAGAGGTCAACCCAAGGCCCTGAGACCACAGGACTTCAAAGCCGGCCCCTTTCACAGCATCTCTGACCATTTCTGGCGTCAGGTAAAGGCAACAGAACTTATGTGGGCCAACTATGTAGTAGGTTTCCTCTATAATTGTTGCAAAGATGAGGTGGCCCCCAGGTTTGACCAAGGAGCCCACATTCTTCACAGCTGAACAGTAAGCAGGAAGATCATTGCAAGCCGATTCCAGGCAGAAAGTGGAGATGACGCAGTCGACTGGCGGGAGCACCAAAGGATCCAAGGGATTGGCCAGGGTCACGTCGCATGGCAGGACTTGCTTGATGGTCCTCCTGAGTTTCTCCTCCTTTTCCTTCCACTTCTCCCTAGAAGGAACGAAAGGGGGAGAATGACCATAAACAATCATGGAGGCATCTCTTTCCTCTTGGAAGCATCAAGTTAAAATGAAGTGAGTATTTCCAACATATTAGGTAAGCATGCTTTATATTGAGATCGGAGGTGACCCCCCCCCCCATGACTCTGTAAAAGATAGTTCAAAATCAGGGAATTCATAGTTTTGCTAAGGACACCAGGCTGGAATGATCCCATAATCCCCTATCGCTCCCCCATGTGGGAACCTAAGGCTTTTTCCATGGCCCCATGGCCCAACTCTTATGGACTTTCCATGAACTTTCATGAACTTTATAGGAACTTTTATAAACTCTTGCCAAACTTTATGAACTTTTATGGATTTTGGGGGTCTGACGTGACCTTCTCTTAGACCAGGGGTCCTCAAACTTTTTAAACAGAGGGCCAGGTCACAGTCCCTCAAACTGTTGGAGGGACGGATTATAATCTGAAAAAAAAGAAGAATGAATTCCTAAGCACAGTGCACATTTCTTATTTGTAGTGCAAAACAACACTACATTAAAACCAAGAACAATTTTAACAAATATAAACTTACTAGTATTTCAATAGGAAGTGTGGACCTGTTTTTGGCTGATGAGATAGATTTGCCGTTGTTGTGTGGTTTCAAGTTGTTTCAGACTTAGGTTGACCCTGAGCGAGGGCTGGTTAAATGTCCTTGGAGGGCCGTATCCAGCCCCCGGGCCTTAGTTTGAAGACCCCTGCCTTAGACCCTGCATGATTCCCCCTCTCTTCCTATGAATTCCTTGTATGTTCCCTTGCCCCATTCCACATTCCCTATGTGTATGTATGTTTATATGAAAATATGATACAGAATGGGGGACAATGCCTGGCTCAAGAGCAGTACGTGTGAAAAAGTTCTTGGAGTCCTCATGGACAACAAGTTAAACATGAGCCAGGAATGTGATGTGGCGGCAAAAAAAGCCAATGGGATTTTGGCCTGCATCAATAGGAGCCTAGTGTCTAGATCTAGGGAAGTCATGCTCCCCATGCTCTATTCCGCTTTGGTTAGACCACACCTGGAATATTGTGTCCTATTCTGGGCACCACAATTCAAGAGAGATATTGACAAGCTGGAATGTGTCCAGAGGAGGGTGACTAAAATGATCAAGGGTCTGGAGAACAAGCCCTATGAGGAGCGGCTTAAGGAGCTGAGCATGTTTAGCCTGAAGAAGAGAAGGCTGAGAGGAGACATGATGAGGGCCATGTATAAATCTGTGAGAGGAAGCCACAGGGAGGAGGGAGCACGCTTGTTTTCTGCTTCCATGGAGATTAGGACATGGAACAATGGCTTCAAACTACAAGAAGGGAGATTCCATCTGAACATGAGGAAGAACTTCCTGAC